GACAGGAGGACCCCCAGAGTCCCACCCCCCCAGTCCCATCCCAGGATGGCTCTGGGAACAATCCCGCCGTGTCTGCAGCACTTTTGCATGAGTAACAACCCCCCATTTCCATAGCTGGGATCGAATCCCAATCCTGCTTCCAGTTCTGTCAGCAGGAATTGCACTGTGGGCTGTGCTGTCCCAAGGTGTTGGAGCTCCCTGTGTGTCGTGCTCGCTCGGATCCGGGTGGAATCCCGAGCTGTGCTCCCTCCCTGGATGTGTGATGCTCATCCCATGGTCAGTCAGGATTTTTGATTTTTACTCCTTTGGGAATTAATGGACTCGTAGCAAGCAGAGCTCTCTGCCACGAGGAATCTGCATTCCACGGTCTCCTGGTTAGTGGGTCATAAAAGGGTGTTTTTTCCTGCAGTTTCTGAATCTCTGGTTGTTCTGGACACGAGTCCTGAGGTGTTTCCTTTAGGCCAGGCTGGAGTTGACTCCTGGTTGCCACCTTGCCAGAAAAGAGCTTTTTGGCACATCAGAAACGAGGTTGGGAAAGTCCTGACCTGAGGGAGCTGCTCCTGGAGAGGTGTCAGTGCCTCCTGTTTCTTTGGTGGAATCTCAGGACAAACGAGCAGCCTGGAGTGTGAACCTCAGAGATCTGGACCTTTCCCCTCAGGTGTGTGTGTGTTACCTGGAATGTGTGAGAGAGGCTCTGACCTGCAGTTCTGAACTGCTTTGGGAACTCTTGTGGTAGCTGATCCTCACTGGGTATTCTCCTTTTCCTTTTGTAATATGGGATAATAATAAACAAAACCTGTCAAATGTTGAGGCTGTAGAACCGTGGTGGCCAGTTCTTTCTGTGTCCAACCCCTGCCCTGCTGCCAGACACACCAGGAGTCAAGTTTTATCCTCTTTTTAAAACAGTGTGTTGGAAAGAGCAGCTGACTTTTCATCATGGGAATATTAAACAGTAACACGAGTTTCGCTCTTTAATCACTGACCATGAAGTTCTTAATTTGGATTTACTTTTAAATCTCGATTGTAAAGAGTCAAATCTCACTCCTGAGGGTAAGAGGTGCAGCACCCAGTGCTGCTCTGCTGGTTGGTTCCAAACAGTCCATGCTTTCCATGATTTGTAAATATTTGTTGAAACAATTAATGGTTGCAAATTTTGACCTTGGTAAATAAAGTCGCCAAAATATTATAATTCTGATGGTCCCTATTTATTTTTAACTAGCACAGAACTGCAAGTGGTGCTGTCCAGGTGGAAATACCTCTGTGGGATCGGGTCATAAGGTGGCCAGGAATAATTAATTGTCAGTTTTAGCGGATGAAAGAGCACCTGTCATGCTAAAAATCGTGAGTGCAGAACAACTTTTACCTTTCTGCAGGGGTTTTTTTTACCTTCTTAGATTTCAATAAGCTGAGCCACAGCTGAGGTTTGGTTAATTAAATGGTTAATTAAAACCTCTGTGTGCTCTGCTGGCTTTTACCCGGCAGAGGGAGCATCTGCCATCCCCAAACCCTGGTGGCATCACCGAGTGTCTTTAACCTTCTGGTGGCTGGAAAGGCGCAGAAATAGGGTGGGAGGAAAGTGTTGCCAGTTGATAACATCCCTCTATTCCATTTTCAGCATTAGGGCCAAGGCTGTTACCGTTTCCTCTCCCATCAGTGTGGATTTCAGAGGCAGGAAACAAAAAAAAACACCACACAATTGCAAACACGACTCCTAAAAAGTAAGTGCACGTCCTTTGGCTCTCGGATTTATTGTGAGTCAGGAGGGAGCTGGTTTTTCCCAAGCTCTCCCAGGCAGGGCCAAGGAGGGAGCTGGTTTTTCCCAAGCTCTCCCAGGCAGGGCCAAGGAGGGAGCTGGTTTTTCCCAAGCTCTCCCCGGCAGGGCCGAGCTCCGCGCCGGTGCCACGCTGGGTTTGCCCCTCTTAGAAGGTCTGGGTGAGCACCGTGTGTGCCACAGTCAGGAGGAGGGTGAGCGTGGTGCTCGTGGGTTTTGGAGTCCTGCTGGTCAGCTTAAGTTTTGCCTTGATCCATGTCCTGTACTGGGAGAGCCGGACGTAGATCCCGGGGTATTTGGGGCGGCCGCAGCCGACGCCGAAGCTGGCGATGCCGATCAGGTAATACCTGTCGGGGTGGTAACACACCAAGGGGCCCCCGCTGTCACCCTGCAGGTAAAACACCACAAAACCCCCCCCAGTGAGGTGGGAATGCAGAATCCAGGCAGGATTAAATGCAGGGGTTTTAACTTCAGGCAGCTCAGTTAATGACAGCAGCAGTGATGGTAACGTGGGCGGTGACGTGGACAAGTCAAGGGAAGTGTGGTGACACTGAATCAGGATCCTTGAGGTTGGAAAAACCCTCCAGGATCACCAAGTCCAACCTGTGCCCCATCCCCACCTTGTCCCCCAGCCCAGAGCCCTGAGTGCCACGTCCAGGCCTTCCTTGGACACCTCCAGGGGTGGGGACTCCAAACCTCCCTGGGCAGCCCTTTCCAAGGCCTGACCACCTTTTCCATGAAGAAATTCCTCCTGATTCTGCTCAAGACGCTGCCCTGACCAGAACCCCAGGCCTGCACTGCTTCAGTGTCTTTCAAGTTCTGTTGTTTTCTCTCTGCACCTCTTCATGCCAAGCCTTGTCTCCCTCAGCTCCTCACTCCTCAGTTAATTGGGGAATGTGTTGTCCACACAGTGTGGAAGCACCAAGACACATGGTAAGGAACACACATCCTGATTCTTGGCTGTGTCACCTACTCGGGGAAAACTGCTGAGGGAAGCAGGAAGTGTATCAGACAAAGCACATTATGGGGTTTAATTATAAATGTCTCCATGTCCCAGCTGGTGCTGCAGCTTCTGCCAGTGCTTCAGACACAAGAATTGGCTTTTCTGAGAAAGAGGTGGTGATTGCTCAGCACTGGAATGAAAGCCCTGAGCCACATCCCTGAGCCACATCCCTGAGCCACATCCCTGAGCCACATCCCTGTGCAGTGCTGCTGCTCTCTTCCAAAAGCATAAAAACAGGAGGCACACTGGTGTGCTTCACACACACTCCATGGCACACCAACACGTGTGTCGAGTGTCATACATGATTTATTGTCACCTCCATGGCACAGATTTGTTGCATTCTTTAACCTTTCCCTTTGTTCAGCATTCACAGGCTCTTTTACCACCTTTCTGACGTCACCAAACGTGTACCTGAGATATTCCTGCTTCGCCATCACCATCCCACCCCTCTTTCTGATGCTCCCTTTGCCTTTGGCCTGTTTTGTGGTTGGCATTTCTGTTGTTTTAATTGCTCCTGATGCCCTTGAGCCCCCCCCTCACCTGGCAGGTGTCGGTGCCCCCGGCCCAGGCGCCGGCGCAGAGCACCCTGTGGTCCATGAGCCCCGCGTAGCCCTCGGAGCTGTTGCACAGGCTGGGAGGGAGGATTTCCACCCGGGCTTCCTTCAGCACAGGTGAGATTTTACCTGGAAAGGAGGCAGAATTCAGTGAGGTGAAATATGCTGGAGTGTTTTTTTTTTTTCTGTGCTTTTTTCCCCCCCTGTCTCCCCAGCTGGGACGTGTTCAGGCCTGGATGGGACACGGGTCCTGCCTGCTCCTGATGGATTGGAACTGGAGGGGGTTGAAGGGTTTGCAGACTTGGGTTTGATGTACATTTTGCAGCTCTTCCTCAGAAGAAGCAGCAGTGGTAATGCACCTGCCTCGCTCCAAGTGTCAGAGGTGACTTATCTAAAGGGCTCGTGTGATCCCAAAATTCCCATACCACCAATTGGCATCGAGTTTGTGCCCAGTAGGATTAAAGAGAGATCTGGAAGGAGTGTAGTCGTTCCTAAATCCCTGGGGACCCCATTCATCAGTCCCTGGGGACCCCCCAGTTCACAACATGCAGTGTCAGAATTGTTGCTTTTTGATAGAAAAGCTGTTTCCAGCAGACCACAAATCTGAAAGTCAGGTGAGTTGTTTTTTTGGGTTTTTTTCATGTTTTTCTTGGAAGAAAGGCTGGGAAATGTATTCCTGTGGTTGCAGCTGTGTGGATCTAACCTGGTCATGATGGAAAAAAGCCCTGGAAGCAGATTCTCACTGCAGAGAGTTTAATGAAGTTGTGTGAGGTGACCACAACCTGAGCAAATCCAGTTGGAATCACGGATGGTTTGGGCTGGGAGGGACCTCAAAGACAATAAATTCCACCCTCTGCCATGGGCAGGGATGTCTTCCACTAGCTCAGGTTGCTCCAAGCCCCGTCCAACCTGGCCTTGGACACTTCCAAGGATGGGGCGGCGGCCTCTGGGTAATGCATTCCAGGGCCTCCCCACGCAGGGAGGCATTCCTAATATCCCTAATATCCTTCCTAATATCCCTAATATCCTTCCTAACATCCCCCTGTTTCAGTGGGACTCCATTCCCCCTGGGAAGGCCGGGAATGGCAGGCAGGCAGGAAGGCAGGGCCTGTTACCCTTCTCGGCGGTGCCCCACACAGGGAGGCATTCCTAATATCCCTAATATCCCTCCTAATATCCCTAATATCCTTCCTAATATCCATCCTAATATCCCATTCAACCCATCCCCATTTCAGTGGGACTCCATTCCCCCGGGAAGGCTGGGCATGGCAGGCAGGCAGGCAGGGCCCGTTACCCTTCTCGGCGGTGCGGCCCCAGCCGCTGACGTAGCAGTCGGAGCCGTTCTCCAGCTGGGGCTGCAGCGGCGCGGGCGGGAGGCAGATGGGCTGGATGTGCAGGCTGGACTGCACGGCCGAGCTCAGCTCGAACACGGCCACGTCGTTCTCAAAGGTCTCGCTCTTGAACTCCGAGTGCACCAGGATCCTCCTGATCCTCCTCTTGGCCGTGTGGGGGCCGTGCCTGTGCAGGTTGTGCAGGCCCAGGACGGCGCGCCAGAAGCACGGGTTCCTGCGGGGGGATTGGCAGGTTGGTTGGGTTTAGGGAATCGTGGAAAGGGTTGGGTTGGGTTGGGTTGGGTTGGGAGGGACCTTAAAGCCCATCCTGTTCCCCCCCTGCCATGGGCAGGGACACCTTCCACTAGACCAGGTTGCTCCAACCTGGCCTTGGACACTTCCAGGGATGGGGTGTCCTCTGGGAAATGCATTCCAGGGCCTCCCCACCCTTACAGGGAGGAATTTCTTCCCAGTGTCCCATCTAAGCCTGCCCTCTTTGGCTCGTGCACCTTTAGGAATGTGTATTGAAAATTCCAGAGTAAATGTTTTCCGGAAGGAACCTGCCTCGTTCCCCTTGTCCCTGGGAACACTCACTGTGCCCAATGCTGGTGGCTGCTCAGGAAAATTCAGGTTAATGATTTAAGCTGAAACTTGGATTTCCCCTCCCACCCCATCTCAGCAGAGGCCACCAGGAGATATTCTTCTGAAAAGGCTAAAAACTTGGATTTATTTTGCAGACAGGAAGGAGGCTCATCCCCACAATGCTTAGAAAGACTCTGCTTGTACCTAGATTAGGGAAATCCATTAACTAGAAGTAACAATAATGAATGTGAAATTTAGAAATAGGGTTGGAGTCTTTCAGACCTAATTTCTTGTTGAAAAAAATCTTTACTGGTATTAAGTGGGATTTGAATTTGGCCTGGGATGAGCTATAAAATTCAGATTAACCTCCAAAGTTAAGGTAAAAATTAAATTGATAATTTAAAGAGGCATTATATTGCAAATAAATGATTGTTAAATTCATTTAAAGAAACAGGGAGTTGATGTACCAAAGTCCCGATGAAGGATGAAATTCCAAAGTTCAGGGATTTAACAGTTCACCTTCCCTCAGGGTCATGGCTGTGTCAACACAGTCGATGGGAACTGGTGCAGATTGTGCAAGTGTGGCAAAGGCCACAGTTAAAAGTCTGTTCTGAGCAGTTGTTACCACATTGTGAAAAAAAAACCACCAAAAACCTGGGCTCATGTGCAGCTGCTGTCACCAAAACCCCCAGGGCCTCTCCTGATGGGCCACTTCCATCTGCAGGGACAAATGGGACTCTTGCAAGTTGACTTGACTGATTGTCCAGTGACTGTAACTGGGGAGATTGTGAGCCAAACATGGGAGACTGGGAGCCAAACGTGGGAGACTGGGAGCCAAATGTGGGAGATTGTGACCCAAACGTGGGAGATTGTGAGCCAAACGTGGGAGATTGTGGCCCAAATGTGGGAGATTGTGGCCCAAACGTGGGAGATTGTGGCCCAAACGTGGGAGATTGTGGCCCAAACGTGGGAGATTGTGAGCCAAACGTGGGAGATTGTGGCCCAAATGTGGGAGATTGTGGCCCAAATGTGGGAGATTGTG